ACTAGTAGTAATAGTAGTACTAGTAGTAATAATAGTACTACTAGTAGCAATAATAGTACTACTAGTAGCAATAATAGTAGTACTACTAGTAGCAATAATAGTACTACTAGTAGCAATAATAGTACTACTACTAGTAGCAATAATAGTACTACTAGTAACAATAATAGTAGTACTACTAGTAGCAATAATAGTACTACTAGTAGCAATAATAGTACTACTAGTAGCAATAATAGTAGTACTACTAGTAGCAATAATAGTAGTACTACTAGTAGCAATAATAGTACTACTAGTAGCAATAATAGTAGTACTACTAGTAGCAATAATAGTACTACTAGTAGCAATAATAGTACTAGTAGCAATAATAGTAGTACTACTAGTAACAATAATAGTACTACTAGTAGCAATAATAGTAGTATTTACTAGTAGCAATAATAGTACTACTAGTAGCAATAATAGTACTACTAGTAGTAATAATAGTACTACTAGTAGCAATAATAGTAGTACTACTAGTAGTAATAATAGTACTACTAGTAGCAATAATAGTAGTACTACTAGTAGCAATAATAGTACTACTAGTAGCAATAATAGTACTACTAGTAGTAATAATAGTACTACTAGTAGCAATAATAGTACTACTAGTAGCAATAATAGTACTACTAGTAGTAATAATAGTACTACTAGTAGCAATAATAGTACTACTAGTAGCAATAATAGTACTACTAGTAGCAATAATAGTACTACTACTAGTAGCAATAATAGTACTAATAGTAGCAATAATAGTACTACTAGGAGTAATAATAGTACTACTAGTAGCAATAATAGTAGTACTACTAGTAGTAATAATAGTAGTACTACTAGTAGCAATAATAGTACTACTAGTAGCAATAATAGTACTACTAGTAGTAATAATAGTACTACTAGTAGCAATAATAGTAGTACTACTAGTAGCAATAATAGTACTACTAGTAGTAATAATAGTACTACTAGTAGCAATAATAGTAGTACTACTAGTAGCAATAATAGTACTACTAGTAGCAATAATAGTACTACTACTAGTAGTAATAATAGTACTACTAGTAGTAATAATAGTACTACTAGTAATAATAGTACTAGTAGCAATAATAGTACTACTAGTAGCAATAATAGTAGTACTACTAGTAGCAATAATAGTACTACTACTAGTAGTAATAGTACTACTACTAGTAGTAATAATAGTACTACTACTAGTAGTAATAATAGTACTACTACTATTAGTAATAATAGTACTACTAGTAGTAATAATAGTACTACTACTAGTAGTAATAATAGTACTACTACTAGTAGTAATAATAGTACTACTAGTAGTAATAATAGTACTACTAGTAGCAATAATAGTAGTACTACTAGTAGCAATAATAGTACTACTAGTAGCAATAATAGTACTACTTCTAGTAGTAATAATAGTACTACTAGTAGTAATAATAGTACTACTAGTAGTAATAATAGTACTACTACTAGTAGTAATAATAGTACTACTACTAGTAGTAATAATAGTACTACTACTAGTAGTAATAATAGTACTACTACTAGTAGTAATAATAGTACTACTACTAGTAGTAATAATAGTACTACTAGTAGTAATAATAGTACTACTAGTAGTAATAATAGTACTACTAGTAGTAATAATAGTACTACTACTAGTAGTAATAATAGTACTACTAGTAGTAATAATAGTACTACTACTAGTAGTAATAATAGTACTACTAGTAGTAATAACAGTACTACTACTAGTAGTAATAATAGTACTACTAGTAGTAATAATAGTACTACTACTAGTAGTAATAATAGTACTACTAGTAGTAATAATAGTACTACTACTAGTAGTAATAATAGTACTACTAGTAGTAATAATAGTACTACTACTAGTAGTAATAATAGTACTACTAGTAGTAATAATAGTACTACTACTAGTAGTAATAATAGTACTACTAGTAGTAATAATAGTACTACTAGTATTACTACTAGTAGTAATAATAGTACTACTACTAGTAGTAATAATAGTACTACTAGTAGTAATAATAGTACTACTACTAGTAGTAATAATAGTACTAGTAGTAATAATAGTACTACTACTAGTAGTAATAATAGTACTACTAGTAGTAATAATAGTACTACTACTAGTAGTAATAATAGTACTACTAGTAGTAATAATAGTACTACTACTAGTAGTAATAATAGTACTACTAGTAGTAATAATAGTACTACTAGTAGTAATAATAGTACTACTAGTAGCAATAATAGTACTTTTTTGTAGTAATAGTACTACTAGTAGTAATAATAGTACTACTAGTAGTAATAATAGTACTACTAGTAGCAATAATAGTACTACTAGTAGTAATAATAGTAGTACTAATAGTAGCAATAATAGTAGTACTACTAGTAGTAATAATAGTACTACTAGTAGCAATAATAGTAGTACTACTAGTAATAATAGTACTACTACTAGTAGTAATGATAGCACTACTAGCAATAATAGTACTACTAGTAGCAATAATAGTAGTACTACTAGTAGTAACAGTACTAGTACTAGTAGCAATAATAGTACTAGTAGCAATAATAGTAGTACTACTAGTAGTACTACTAGTAGTAATAATAGTACTACTAGTAGCAATAATAGTACTACTAGTAGCAATAATAGTACTACTAGTAGCAATAATAGTAGTACTACTAGTAGCAATAATAGTAGTACTACTAGTAGCAATAATAGTACTACTAGTAGCAATAATAGTACTAGTAGCAATAATAGTAGTACTACTAGTAGCAATAATAGTAGTACTACTAGTAGCAATAATAGTAGTACTACTAGTAGCAATAATAGTAGTACTACTAGTAGTAATAATAGTACTACTAGTAGCAATAATAGTACTACTAGTAGCAATAATAGTACTACTAGTAGCAATAATAGTAGTACTACTAGTAGCAATAATAGTAGTACTACTAGTAGCAATAATAGTACTACTAGTAGCAATAATAGTACTAGTAGCAATAATAGTAGTACTACTAGTAGCAATAATAGTACTACTAGTAGCAATAATAGTAGTACTACTAGTAGCAATAATAGTACTACTAGTAGCAATAATAGTACTACTAGTAGCAATAGTAGTACTACTACTAGCAATAATAGTAGTACTGCTAGTAGTAATAATAGCACTACTAGTAGCAGCAATAATACAACTACTAGCAGCAATATTACTACTAGCAGCAATAATAGTACTACTACTAGTAGTAATAATAGTACTACTACTAGCAGCAATAGTAGTACTACTAGTAGCAATAATAGTAGTACTTGTAGCAATAATAGTAGTACTTGTAGCAATAATAGTAGTACTTGTAGCAATAATAGTAGTACTACTAGTAATAGTAGTAGTAATCATCACACAAGTTATTTAACTCAAATAAAACATTCAGTGGTTAGTAAAAACATCATCTTTTTCTTCAACATTTATTGAAATGCAACACAGCGAGTCCAGCATAAAAAAAATATAAACACGTTTCGTCAAGTTATTGATCAGGCGGGGTTGCCAACATGCGGTCCTCGCAGGGCTACCAACTTCAGGGAAGACTTAGGTAGGCTGCCGTCATTAAGGAAATATACACAGGGCTACCAACTACAGGTCAGCACATGGGTACCAACTACAGGTCAGCACAGGGCTATGAACTTAAGGGAACACTTAGGCAGGCTGCCGTCATTAAGGAAATATACACAGGGCTACCAACTACAGGTCAGCACATGGGTACCAACTACAGGTCAACACAGGGCTATGAACTTAAGGGAACACTCAGGCAGGCTGCCGTCATTAAGGGAAATACATGGGCTGCCAACTACAGTTCAACACAGGGCTACCAACTACATGTCAACACAGGACTACCAACTTAAGGGAACACTCAGGCTGCCGTCATTAAGGGGGAATACACAGGGCTACCAACTATAGGTCAACATAGGGCTACAACTACAGGTCAACACAGGGCTACCGACTTAAGGGAAGACCCAGGCGGGCTGTCGTCATTAAGGGAAATACATGGGCTGCCAACTACAGTTCAACACAGGGCTACCAACTACATGTCAACACAGGACTACCAACTTAAGGGAACACTCAGGCAGGCTGCCGTCATTAAAGGGAATACACAGGGCTACCAACACAGGTCAACACAGGGCTACCAATTATAGTTCAGCACAGGGCTACCAACCTCAGGACAACACAGACTTAACAACGAAGCCACATAAGGGCTACCAACATTAGAGGGCTATGCAGGGGTACCATCGTTAAAGAGCTCCGTAGACCTGCCTTCAAGCCCACACAGGGCTACCAACCTCAGGAATTAACAGAGCTGCAATCCCGGGGGGGGGGGAATAAACATATAAACAGGTTTGCCAACTACTACACACGGGGAAAGGGACAAGAGCTTACGTCAGCAGAAGGAAAACAGGGATAGCAACATGATGGACAATACCGAGCTACTGACTCCAGAAATAATCAGATATGACGGTATACAGTTGATAAGTAAAACGTATGTGTAACAAAAGGGTATTTCTAGTCTGGAAACGTTTCGTCTACACGACGGGCGTCTTCAGTCCAATGCGGGAAAAGGTGGAAAATGAGGAGTAGTTTTGAGGTGGTCAGTCCCTCAGCCTGAAGAAGAGTTCAGCTCCATAGTCCAGAACATTGTTCCAGACAATGGAGTTGAAATCTTCTCCAGGCTGAGCCTGAGGGACTGACCACCTCCACACTCCGTCTTCAAGGGTGATGGAATGATTGTATCGTCTTACATCTCTACTGCTTCTGCTGCCTCCTCTGTACTCGACTGAAGAAACCTATTGTGTAGGGCGAAACGTTTCGGAATATACCCAATTGTTATATATGTGTCTTATAAATCATCTAGGATGGTACAATAAGGTACAAGAATAAAATGGAACAGAGTAAAATGTCGACATATCGGTCATACGAAAACTTGATCAAATGGATAGGCTCCTACGTGAGCCATATTATAAAGCATTCCACTTTTTTTTTTCTTATTGTCCATTTTGACAAGTAGTCTTGGTAACAATGATTTGTAGGTACCTAAACCATGATAGTTTGGGAGTAGATAACATACATAAATTTTTTTACTATTTTTAAGCGTTGTTTACAAAATTCTTTGGATATATTTGCATATATATTTTTCTGTTACTACGAAGTTGTTAAGGGAGGGAGAAGAAGATGAAAATAAACAAGATAAAGCCAAACATTAAATTTCTATGCTAAGCTAGCAACAACTGTCTATAAACTCCATGACTACACTTAACGCTACTGGCAACACATTCAGCGAATCTGGATTCCTCGCACAAAAGTCCGTAAAAACGGCTGAAGAAGATGGACTTGTTCGTCACATTATGGCACTTATTCGGAAAGGGATCATATGGCTCAAGCCATTCGGAGCCCTTACAGCCAGGAATGACAACTTCCTCAGGAAGGGATCATTCGGCTCCAGCCGTTCGAAGCCCTTACAGCCAGGAATAACAACTTCCTCAGGAAGGGATCATACGGCTCCAGCCGCTCGAAGCCCTTACAGCCAGCAATAACAACTTCCTCAGGAAGGTATCATACGGCTCCAGCCTTCCGGAGTCCTTACAGCCAGCAATAACAACTTCGCCAGAAAGGGCTCACACGGCTCAAGCCTTTGTAGCCCTCATAACCAGCAACAACAACTTCAGAACGGTTCAAACAGCTCAAGCCGTCGTACCCCTTACAACCAACAATAACAACTATCTCGAGAAATCCTCTATTCTTGGCTTTGATTTAGAGGAACAAGACTTTAAGAGACGAAGATTAATCTTGGCGAAGACAAGACATACGTCGTAGAGCAAGCTGTGTGTGAATGTTGTGTTACAAAGTTCTGTGTTGCATTACGAAGCTATACATAAGAACAAGTGTCCCAGCATGAGCTTGCTCTGCAACCTGAGTGTATTCTTCGTCACTGTTGTCAGTTACGTCATTCGAATCCACGGAAAATGGACGCCATTTTTTTTAACATCAGTCAACAAACATCAATCGGTTTATTAATATACAAAATAATCAACCGGTTAATCATATAACTAATTAATGAATTAGCTAATTAATCAGTTCAGTCGCCCAACCAGTTAATAACATAATCGACTGATCACTCATGTAATCAACTAATAGATAATGACATATCTAATCAATCGATAAGTTAGTTAGTCAACAGGATGATTAACTGAATGAGGTGTATCTACAAAACCTCTGCTAAATCTCTCTTGTTCCTGCCATTATCTATCACCATATATCTTCGTCTACCATTATCTACCTCCATCTGATATCACGGATCATTATCCTTTCAATCTCTCGTAAACTATTATATTATATCATTCGTATCTTTGCTACTACTACTACTACTGCTGCTGCTATCTCATCTACGGTTACTTCTGACACTTAACGACTATTACCTATTATTAACTTTGATCTACCATCTACCATGTATCAAGCCATCCATCTACTCCCTAAAGTTGATTTCGGTCTGACCGAAGTAGCCATTGCTGGTCTCGTAGTGGTTGGGAGAGTCTTCGCAGGGGATGGAGTTCTGGGCGTGGTCGCAGACTAGCGCCACCTGCAAGGAGACCGAAGGTTATATTGATTTTTAACACGAAGAATTAGACACATGTGCAACATCTAGGTAACTTCATTTGTCTTAGACACATGTGCAACATCTGGAAGATACAAATATGATGCAGGTGTCTAAGACTTCATCTTGTCGGTATTGTATATTGTAAGCAAACATGTTGCAATGGGAAGACACGAGTTGTAATTGGGAAGACGTTTTGCTCTATGCAGAGTTTTATCAACGCACGTTTCGCGCTGTCTGTAGAGTTTTATCAAACCATGTTTAGCTTCGTGTAAGGTTTCAAGTTACGTTTCACTCTGTGTAGGCATTTAACAAGTTATGTTTTGCTCTGTGTAGGGATTTATCAAGTTATGTTTTGATCTGTGTAGGGATTTATGAAGCTATCCATGTACTGGGGTGATAGTGAATATAATAAGTTAATTTAAGAGCAAAATATAAAAAATCTTGAAAATGTTTATCAGTCCACAAATAAGTATAGAATAATATATATATTATATATATATATATATATATATATATATATATATATATATATAATATTATATATATATTTATATATATATGTATATATATACTCTTAAAAATATTTGGATTGTTTGACCGCTCTGAGTATGTGCCACGATAGGTATATCATCAGTGTATATTTCTCGTTGAATATACGCTGATGATATACCTGTAGTGTATGTATACTAGGAGATATGTATCTATGTATGTACACTGAAAGGTGTGTATTTCTCTTTATATGTATAATGAGAAGTGAATAACTATGTATAGTGAGGCATGTATATCTCTGTGTATGTATTGTGAGATGTGTGTATTTTTCTATGTACACTGAATGGTGTGTATCATTCTGTGTATGTAAAACAAGGTGTCTGTCTCAATGAGGGGACACTGTATCAACATTCGTGGTCCCGGATTATTCAACATCTTACCAGAATATATCAGAAACACTGCTGGGACAAGTATCTTCACCAGGTGCCAGATCAACCAGGTTGTGATGGATATGTGGGGCTGCAAGCCACCAACGGCAACAGCTTGGTTGACCAGGTAAGCACCAGACGACCCTGGGCCATGGCCGGGCTCAGGGAGTAGAAAAACTCTCGGAACTCATCAAGGGTATATCAAAGATGTATGTTTATTAAGAGTTGTGTATCTACTACACTGTTACCACCTGGCTACAGGGGTTAACATCTTTGTCCAAATCATCATCTCCGCGGGACACCGGCCAGTGAAGGCGCCAGTCGTAAATTAAATCACCTTTTGTTTTTTTTTGTGAAATGGAGACTGAGTGTGGTAGGTGGTAATGACGGTGATTCCTCAGGAGCGGAGTTCTCAGGCCAGAAATTACTTTCTCTCAACACCTGGCCACTGCGTCTTACCTTTCCCTCTCACGCGCGACGCTGCCTCTCACTCGCGGTATTACACAGACGACCTTCTTGAAGATGCTACCTGGCTCCTCTTCCATACGTCCCACTGACCTGACTCTCAGTTGGAACCAGTTTTTTTTTAAACCGCCTCCACCATCACCACCACCATAACCAACACTACAAACACCACCACTACTAACACTATTGCTACCACCATCACCACTACTAACACCAAATTTATCTTAATGTGATCATATTTCGCTTCGCTATCACCTCTTTCTTCGACTACACACATTTACACGTCCACACACACACCACAAGCACACACACAGTGAAGAAGCAGGGACAGGAGCTATGAATCGACCCCTGTAAGCACAACTAGGTAAGTACACACCCACACACACACACACACACACACACACACACACACACACACATTTGCAACATTCTAGACGACATTTAAAAAAAAAAAAATCCACGTACAAAACATCACACTGGAATTCCAATCCCATCCAGACTGCAACATATCATCACCTCTCCAACATGAAGGACTGGTGATGTTTTGTTCGTCAGGAAAACAGGACAATTGTCTCGTGGAACGACACGCGAGTCTCGCCACATAAGCGGAGTTTATGGGTTTACGATTATGAAAAATAATAAAAAAAAAAACAGTTTGGAGATTAGTGAATAAATTTTTTACCACAAAAAAAAAAAAATCGTCCAAATCTTTAATAATACTGGCGAATATCCAGCGGCTTTTCTGTACGACCCGTGTGGGTCTAGCGCTTAGTTATAATAATAATCCAACAGTCTTCAAATATATGGAGTAATTTTTTTTTTTTTTGGACAGCACACACATATACTGAAACCAAAATGGTATATGATTCCGTGGTGTGATGGCCGTAAAAGTCAAAAATAATAGACAAAAATTGTCATTGGGGTTTTTTTGGACCTGAAAATTGATAATTAGGAAGAAAAAATTGAAGAAGATAATGTAATTGTCTTCAGCGGGAGAGACGTGATATATATATATATATATATATATATATATATATATATATATATATATATATATATATATATATATATATATATATATATATGAATTTATCACACTGGCCGATTCCCACCAAGGCAGGGTGGCCCGAAAAAGAAAAACTTTCACCATCATTCACTCCATCACTGTCTTGCCAGAAGGGTGCTTTACACTACAGTTTTTAAACTGCAACATTAACACCCCTCCTTCAGAGTGCAGGCACTGTACTTCCCATCTCCAGGACTCAAGTCCGGCCTGCCGGTTTCCCTGAATCCCTTCATAAATGTTACTTTGCTCACACTCCAACAGCACGTCAAGTATTAAAAACCATTTGTCTCCATTCACTCCTATCAAACACGCTCACGCATGCCTGCTGGAAGTCCAAGCCCCTCGCACACAAAACCTCCTTTACCCCCTCCCTCCAACCTTTCCTAGGCCGACCCCTACCCCGCCTTCCTTCCACTACAGACTGATACACTCTTGAAGTCATTCTGTTTCGCTCCATTCTCTCTACATGTCCGAACCACCTCAACAACCCTTCCTCAGCCCTCTGGACAACAGTTTTGGTAATCCCGCACCTCCTCCTAACTTCCAAACTACGAATTCTCTGCATTATATTCACACCACACATTGCTCTCAGACATGACATCACCACTGCCTCCAGCCTTCTCCTCGCTGCAACATTCATCACCCATACTTCACACCCATATAAGAGCGTTGGTAAAACTATACTCTCATATATTCCCCTCTTTGCCTCCAAGGACAAATATATATATTTGTATATATATATATATATATATATATATATATATATATATATATATATATATATATATATATATATATATATATATATATATTGTTTATATACATTATGCATTAAACACTACCATTCATAATTTACGTTATAAACTATCAGAATGACCGATCTGGTCCAGCATGACCTGGTGGACCGACCTGGCCCAGCATGACCTGGTTTACTGACCTGGTTGAAGACAGTGTCCTGGCCGCAGATGAAGGACCACATGCGGGTCCGGAGGAACTGTTCAGAATCCAGGTACGGGTAACAGACATGGAAGACCCGGCAACCGTTGGCGAGGTCAGCATAGTAACCGTACTTAAGACCATCACAGCTGAGGGAGAGAGAGCTTGCTGAGAGTAGAGGAGCTTACTGAGGGAGAGAGAGAGAGCTTGCTTCTAGGGAGAGGTTTATGAGAGAGGAGGAGGTTGCTGAGAAAGAGAGGGAGCTTGTTCTGTGTGTGTGTGTGAGAGAGAGAGAGAGGAGCTTGAGTGGGAGAAGTAGGTGGGCTGTTGAGAAAAGGGAAAATTAATGGGAGAGAGAGACAGAGGGGGGAGGTTACTTAAACAGTATGGGACAGACAGATGGAACAGGTAGATGGAGTAAATGGAGGGATGCAGTTGGTACTCCATAGATGGAGTGCATCCATTCATTTAAGCAGGCGAAAAACAAAATGCCTTCTAGATTTAAGTAAAAGATTGAGGGAGATACCTACTTGGTTGAAAGGGGGAAGTACATAGATGGTTATAGAAAGAGAGAAGTATCTGCAGGATAAGTTGTGATGGAGGAGGTGGAGGAGGGAGGGAAGACGGGGTTCAAGTGGAGGGGGAAGCAGGGGTTCAAATGGAAGGTTCAAACAGGTGTTCAGTTGGAAGGTTCAAACAGGGGTTCAAATGGAAGGTTTAAACAGGGGTTCAGTTGGAAGGCTCAAACAGGGGTTCAAATGGAAGGTTTAAACAGGGGTTCAGTTGGAAGGTTCAAACAGGGGTTCAAATGGAAGGTTTAAACAGGGGCTCAGTTGGAAGGTTCAAACAGGGGTTCAAATGGAAGGTTTAAACAGGGGTTCAAATGGAAGGTTCAAACAGGGGTTTAAATGGAAGGTTCAAACAGAGGTTCAAATGGAAGGTTCAAACAGGGGTTCAAATGAAAGGTTCAGAGGTTCAAATGGAAGGTTCAAACAGGTATGAAAGGTTCAAGGTTAAATGGAAGGTTTCAAACAGGGGTTCAAATGGAATGTTTAAACAGGGGTTCAATTGGAAGGTTCAAACAGGGGTTCAATGGAAGGTTTAAACAGGGGTTCAAATGGAAGGTTCAACCAGGGGTTTAAATGGAAGATTCAAACAGGTTCAAATGGAAGGTTCAAACAGGGGTTCAAATGAAAGGTTCAGAGGTTCAAATGGAAGGTTTAAACAGGGGTTTAAATGGAAGGTTCAAACAGGGGTTCAAATGGAAGGTTCAAACAGGGGTTTATTTGGAAGGTTCAAACAGGGGTTCAAATGGAAGGTTTAAACGGGTTTAGTTGGAAGGTTCAAACAGGGGTTCAAATGGAAGGTTTAAACAGGGGTTCAAATGGAAGGTTCAAACAGCGGTTCAAATGAAAGGTTCAAACAGGGGTTCAAATGGAAGGTTCACATTAAACAGGAAGGTTCATTCAATGGAAGGTTCAAACAGGGGTTCAAATGAAAGGTTCAGAGGTTCAAATGAAGGTTTAAACAGGGGTTCAAATGGAATGTTCAAACAGGGGTTCAAATGGAACGTTCAAACAGGGGTTCAGTTGAGGTCAACAGGGTTCAAATGAGTAACAGGGGTTCAAATGGAAGGTTCAACCAGGGGTTTAAATGGAAGATTCAAACAGGTTCAAATGGAAGGTTCAAACAGGGGTTCAAATGAAAGGTTCAGAGGTTCAAATGGAAGGTTTAAAGAGAGGTTTAAATGGAAGGTTCAAACAGGGGTTCAAATGGAAGGTTCAAACAGGGGTTTATTTGGAAGGTTCAAACAGGGGTTCAAATGGAAGGTTCAAACAGGGGTTCAAATGGAAGGTTCAAACAGGGGTTCAAATGAAAGGTTCAGAGGTTCAAATGGAAGGTTTAAACAGAGGTTTAAATGGAAGGTTCAAACAGGGGTTCAAATGGAAGGTTCAAACAGGAGTTCAAATGGAAGGTTCAAACAGGGGTTCAAATGAAAGGTTCAGAGGTTCAAATGGAAGGTTTAAACAGAGGTTTAAATGGAAGGTTCAAACAGGGGTTTATTTGGAAGGTTCAAACAGGGGTTCAAATGGAAGGTTCAAACAGGGGTTCAAATGGAAGGTTCAAACAGGGGTTCAAATGGAAGGTTCAAACAGGGGTTCAAATGGAAGGTTCAAACAGGGTTCAAATGGAAGGTTCAAACAGGGGTTCAAATGAAGGTTCAAAGGGTTCAAATGGAAGGTTCAAACAGGGGTTCAAATGGAAGGTTCAAACAGGGGTTCAAATGGAAGGTTCAAACAGGGGTTAAGAATCAACAATTGATCCAGAATATCGAAAAAATGACAAAATTTAAGTTTTTGCTTTAACAATAATGGATACACCACAGTGGGCTGCTACCAATTCAGTGACAGTACGCTGTGGGAACAAGACGGCTGTGTTCATGCCAATTCATGTTATGTAGATGGTTCGCATGAAGTCTTTAAAACGCGTCAGTCTAAACTGGAGACTTTTGCATTCTGGAGCTGGGAGACTCTGTAGTGTCTGAGCTGGGAGACTTCTGTTAGGTCTGAGCTGGGAGACTTCTGTGTGTCTGAATGGAGATTTGAGTGTCTGAGCGGGAGACTTCTGTAGTGTCTCAGCTGGGAGATTTGTAGTGTCATCTGACTGGGAACTTCGTAGTGTCCTGAGCTGGAGATTCGTATGTCTCAGTGGAGAACTTTTAGTTCTGAGCTTGGAGAACTTCTGTAGTGTCTGAGCTGGAGACTTCAGAGTGTGCTGAGCTGGGAGACTTTCTGTAGTGTGAGCTGAGACTTCGAGTGTCTCAGTGGGAACTTTAGAGTGTCTCGCTGGAGATTCTTTGCTCAGCTGGGAGACTTCTGTTATGTCTGAGCTGGGAGCTTCTGTAGTGTCTGAAGCGAGACTTCTGTAGTGTCTCAGCTGGGAGACTTTTGAGTGTCTGAGTGGAGACTTCTGTAGTGTCTGAGCTGGGAGACTTCTGTAGTGTTCAGTGGGACTTTGTAGTGTCTGAGCTGGAGACTTTGTAGTGTCTGAGCTGGTGGACTTTCTGTAGTGTCTGAGCTGGGAGACTTCTGTAGTGTCTCAGCTGGAGACTTTTGAGACTGTCTGCTGAGGATCTGTAGTGTTCAGCTGGGAGACTTCTGTAGTGTCTGAGCTGGGAGACTTCTGTAGTGTCTGAGCTGGGAGACTTCTGTAGTGTCTGAGCTGGGAGACTTCTGTAGTGTCTGAGCTGGGAGACTTCTGTAGTGTCTCAGCTGGGAGACTACTGTAGTGTCTCAGCTGGGAGACTTCTGTAGTGTCAGTCTGAGCTGGGAGACTTCTGTAGTGTCTCAGCTGGGAGACTTCTGTAGTGTCTCAGCTGGGAGACTTTTGTAGTGTCTGAGCTTGGAGAATTCTGTAGTGTCAGTCTGAGCTGGGAGATTTCTGCAGTGTCAGTCTGAGCTGGGAGACTTCTGCAGTGTCAGTCTGAGCTGGGAGACTTCTGCAGTGTCAGTCTGAGCTGGGAGACTTCTGCAGTGTCAGTCTGAGCTGGGAGACTTCTGCAGTGTCATCTGAGCTGGGAGACTTCTGCAGTTCGTCTGAGCTGGGAGACTTCTGTAGTGTCAGTCTGAGCTGGGAGACTTCTGTAGTGTCAGTCTGAGCTGGGAGACTTCTGTAGTGTCAGTCTGAGCTGGGAGACTTCTGTAGTGTCTGAGCTGGGAGACTTCTGTAGTGTCTCAGCTGGGAGACTTTTGTAGTGTCTGAGCTTGGAGAATTCTGTAGTGTCAGTCTGAGCTGGGAGATTTCTGCAGTGTCAGTCTGAGCTGGGAGACTTCTGCAATGTCAGTCTGAGTGGGACTCTGCAGTGTCATCTGGCTGGAGACTTCTGCAGTGTCAGTCTGAGCTGGGAGACTTCTGCAGTGTCAGTCTGAGCTGGGAGACTTCTGTAGTGTCAGTCTGAGCTGGGAGACTTCTGTAGTGTCAGTCTGAGCTGGGAGACTTCTGCAGTGTCAGTCTGAGCTGGGAGACTTCTGTAGTTCAGTCTGGCTGGGAGACTTCTGTAGTGTCAGTCTGAGCTGGGAGACTTCTGCAGTGTCAGTCTGAGCTGGGAGACTTAAGTAAGACAATAAGAATATCACCAAGTATTTACTTAAGGCTCATCATCTACGACAGCTTCAAAAATTTCCTTCCAAACTAGATAGGGAGAGAAGACAGGAAGGGATGGATGAAGGTGGGGAGGGAGGGGGTGAGGGAGGGAGGGAGGAGGGAGGGAGGGAGAGAGGGAGGGAGAGAGGGAGGAAGAGAGAGAGAAGGATGAGGAGAGGGAGAGAGATGAATAATGAGTGTACTCGGTCACTGTCTGCCTGTAGGAGGGTGTATTACGAGGGTGGAATTATGGGACCATTGGAATTGAAATGTGCAAGGACATGCTGAAGGAAATGGTGCAGGTGATGGTGATGGGTGATGGTGATGGGTGGTGGTGATGGGTGTGTGATGGTGGTGTGATGGGTGGTGGTGATAGGTATGGTGTGGTGATAGTGGTGGATAGGGTGGTGGTGGTGGTGTGATAGGGGTGGTGGTGTGATAGGTGGTTGGATGGACTGTACTGGGATGATGATACGAGTGCTGAAAAACAACAATGACAGCTCCCTATGTGGTAATTGTGGCTAACCACAGACGCACACATAGTGTATAATATAGTATATATATAATATATATAAATATATATATATATATATATATATATATATATATTTATATATATATATATATATATATATATATATATATAACAACTGTCACTGTGTTAAAAATACAACCACTACTCACTAGAACACTATATTGGTGATTTGGTTATTATGATAGGTTTAAAGCCTATCGACTACAAGAGGGTCATTAAGCTACTAATCACCTATACCCCACCTGTCAACATTACTCTAGTACCTAACGTAGGTATGAAACATTACATACACTGCTGCTCTCAGCGCATGACCCATCAAGGGAGGTTCCTTGATGCTGGTGAGGAGCTCTTGATCAAGGGAATTGGATCTGTGCTCCAGTTCCCTGAATTGAGCCTGAATGCCTTCCATCCCCCCCCCACATGCACTGTATAATCCTCTGGGTTTAGCGCTCTCCCATGATTATAATAATCTCAGCGCACGACATACTCTTCGGAATACAGACAAAATAGTCAGGGGTGTTTGTATGATACAGTCATACAGTATGTATGATACAGTCATACAATATGTATGATACAGTCATACAGTATGTATGATACAGTCATACAATATGTATGATACAGTCATACAGTATGTATAGTCATACTACTTACTAGAATGCTTATAATGTCTCAGACGTTAATTTTTCTTTCCATCTTGAAGACTGGAGGTCATCCTTCACTCGTTTAATGCATTAACTCTGTTCTAATATCGTCTTTTACTTTGAATCGCGTTTTCACGTGTTAATCGTCGTTTTAAGGGGTGTTTTCTGTATGCGTTTTCCTGTCAGTCGTCGAGTTTGGTTGGTCAGAGGTCGTGGAGTCGTCCCAGGAGTCGAGCGCAACAGAATAAGGTCAGCAATGAAACTGTAAAAAAGGCATAAGGACATAATAGACCAAATTCGCACAAAAGAAAGTTTAGATAAAAAGTTTGAGAAATATCTCATTTTTGGAATGAAGGGAAAATAAGGGATTAAATTAAATAAAAGTTAGTTCAGGAAATCTGATGTGTCTTTTAAATAATCTGTTCACGTCTTCAAGACAACTCAAATTGCCAAAAAAAGGAGCCTCGGGCGATTTTAACCCTTATGTAATTCCGATACTATGTACAGATTACCATGTTCACCCTGAACGAGTGTTTGTAGCACTCTCTTGCCAACTACATGTCATTGTGGGGTCAGACGAGTGAAAAAAAATTTGTGTGAGTGTGAATAGTGGTAATGAGGTTGTTGTGTGACTAATCAAGAACGGCATATGTTGTGCCCATAGGTGTATCTCATATGTTATCATGGAAAAAATAAACTTATGTTGTTCTTATAGTTTTTTAAAGTATCTATGGTTATTCTTATTTTTTTTAATATTCTTGTATGTGTCTGGGCCCAAACACAGCACAGACCTTCGGATCACCTGCCCATCAGCACAGAACAAGAAGTCAAATCACCCGTACCAGCACAGTGCAAGCATCCGACCCAAGAGCTTCCTGCAGCCACTGACCTGAATCCCGTAGCGATGGGTCCTCCGTTGATGACGGTAGCGTTGGAGGGGAGTTCGTAGAGTGTCGGAGAGGAGTCAGCGATGACGGTGTGGAGGAGACAGGAGGCCAACACAACCAACACCACACCTGCAGAGACGGAGACACATCGGTGGTCAGCGATAGACAACGATTATCAACGATTATCATTGTATATTTTTACGTAGAGACGAGGTAGAGACAGTCACGAGACATGGAGTAATGGGACTCTTGGAAGGGTCGAAGATTCCAGGTATAGTGTTAAAGTGAAAGGAATTCCCAGCATGACAAACATTCCTGCTTGAAATGCACAGCAAGTAAACTACATTTTTGTTTGCTGCAGAAAAAGAAATAAAATGATTTTGTATTGGTATCCCAGTGCCCGAGTCTGAGACCTTACCAGAGTTGCAGGTATGTGTGAAGACGCGGGTAATAAACCTTTTACAAGGTCCACGCTCATGCAGATGACGTGATGAGCACAAGACCTGAAGATCTGTCGGGGTCCACATGAATAATTCAACGGTTGAAAGTGAAAACTAGTAATACTGTAAATTCAGAAGCTCTACCAAGATGGGCAACAGAAAACGAGGTGTAACAAGCTTTTCTGTATAAATGAACGATTCAGGTCTTTCTGACTGGCTGACATTTGAGAATGTGTGATCCTGTTTTCCTGACCACTGTTGGTTCCACATAGTCACCACGTTCCTGCGGACCGCTGAATGAAATTACGAAGCGTTTTGAAATTAAACAAATTTGGCATATAATGCAATCTTCATAACCTGCAGTAACAGCCTGGTTGACCAGGCCCTGATTCACCGGGAGGCCTGGTCATGGACCGGGCCGCGGGGGCGTTGATCCCCGGAATAACCTCCAGGTAACCTCCAGGTAGCCTAAATAAATTACATACAGCAGAACAGCGTTTAGCTGATAATCTGATAAAACGTTGAAAAAGTGATGTGTCTAAACAGGATGTATACACTGACAGTTGTATCTCAGCATACACACGCTGATAGTTTTCTTCAATCCTATTTTAGGGATTAAAGTATCCTTGTCAGGTGGCAGAAAAGGTTTTGTGTAACCCTAAATTACCCAAGTGTAGTCAACAGGCTTTAAATCTTATTAACCAGCCTGGTGTCCCAAATTCGAATATCCTGTTTACGTGTATCTGTAATACAAAATTCCACATATAGATTGCTATATTTTAAATGAAAACAAAGATGCTGGAAACCTAACTTACTCTTGACAGGCTGAAAGACGAAGGACCGTCAAGCAGTGTGCTCGTGCTGGATGTCTTACTTTAAATAACGGTACCAAACAAAGCCGAAAAAAGCAAATGAAAGTAAAGAAACCAGGAGTAGCAGTAGCAAGGTAGCAGCACACTGACGCAGTAATAATCTGAAGCAAAGTAGACAATGAAACGTGGTAATGCAGTGAAGCAATATACTCAGGCTGTGTAGTGAGGCAGGGTGCTGAGGCAGTGCACTAGGCTCTGTAGTGAAGCAATACATTGAGACTTTGCCGAGACAGTATACAGACGCTGGGCACTGAGGCAGTAAACTGAGACTGTACAGAGGCAGTACACAAATACTGTAATGAGGCAGCAAAATAAACGTAACTAGTTGACCATTCAAGTGTTTATGCTAGAGAACAGTGTTCTCACTACCCAACTAATCGAAGCGTCCTGTTCTAGGACACTGTCACCATGTTCCAGAAAAGGACGTCGTCAGACTACGATATAGGTGTCGTCTAGCACCTCACGAAGAATTTTAACAGGCCTAAGAAAGAATGAAAAAAAAATCACAACACTTGAACAATACACAAATAACCCACATTCAGGAGAGTGAAACTTATAATGACAACGTTTCGGTTCGACTTGGACTATGACGAAACCCTCTACGTGAGCTCGGTGTGTTGCAAGAGGATGATTGAAAGGTTACCAAGACGGGCGCATAAAACAGCCGAAGGCCATGACAAACTCGATTCCATAAATGTATTTTAATTTTACCCAGTCGGACATGGCAAAGGATTTTTTTTTTTTAAGTTACAGACGAATGGTTTTTCTCCATTTTTTCGCCCTCCGTCCGTTGCGGGACGGATGGAAACATCGTCTAAAGTTTGCTTTCTAAATAAAGTGAGCTGGATTCGAATGCTCTGAGCCATGGAATAGTAAGGTGTCTCTTCTTCCCTCCCATAATTGAACAGCTGTTGAAGACAGGCCCGGTGGCCTGGTGGCTAAAGCTCCCGCTTCACACACGGAGGGCCCGGGTTCGATTCCCGGCGGGTGGAAACATTCGACACGTTTCCTTACACCTGTTGTCCTGTTCACCCAGCAGCAAATAGGTACCTGGGTGTTAGTCGACTGGTGTGGGTCGCATCCTGGGGGACAAGATTAAGGACCCCAATGGAAATAAGTTAGACAGTCCTCGATGACGCACCGACTTTCTTGGGTTATCCTGGGTGGCTAACCCTCCGGGGTTAAAAATCCGAACGAAATCTTATCTTATCTTATCTAACTGTGTCAAAACTGTCAGTGGTGACAATAAGGCAGGAAAAGGTGCATTTCCTTCTTAAATCGCTTGACCAAGAAAAAGCTGTGGGCCCCAGACAAGTTGAACCCAAGATTGCTGAGAAGATGTGCAGACCAGCTAGCAGCACCTCTAACTCGCATCTTTCAGCACTGCCTAGTACAGTGTAAATGGCCTTCTCTGTGGAAAGAGGCAAATGTAGTCCCTGTTCACAAAACGAAGAGCAGAGCAGAAATCAGCAACTACAGACCAGTGTCACTCCTGTCAATCACTGGCAAGCTCCTTGAGACAATAATCATATAGACAAATGACAGAATTTTTTGACTACCACTCACTACTTTGTGACCGTCAATATGGTTTCAGCAAAGGTTACTCTGCTGCTGATCTGTTGTTAAACCTCTCCACTAAGTGGCACCGGTCACTGGATGAATCTAAAGTCAGCTGTGTGGTAGCACTGGACAATGCTGGTGCTTTCTACCGAGTATGGCACCAGGGCCTCTTAGCAAAACTGCAAGCTCTGGGACTTGCAGAATCTACGCTATGTCTCCTTAGTGATTGCCTTCATGGTAGATCTCTAAGGGTAGTTCTCAAAGGAACAGAATCAGCAAGACATCCTATTGGGGCAAGTGTTCCACAAGGAAGTGTTCTGGGGCCATTGTTATGGAATGTCTACTTCAATGACCTTCTTCATCTCATCCCAGAATCACATGCATATGCAGACGACTGTACACTGACATTCACTTATCCAAGAGAAGAAATGCCAGCTGCTCTAAGCTACATCAATCACCAGGTAAGAGCTATATCAGCTTGGGGAAATAGATGGCAAGTAACATTTGCACCTGAGAAAACACAAATAATGATGATCTCTAGGCACCATGATGGTATTGCCGGTGCAGTAGTAAGGATGAATGGGAGGGTGTTGGCACCTAGGGAAGAAGTTGATATTCTTGGGGTAAAATTTGACTCCAAACTGACCATGAAAAATCACGTTGTAAATCTTGCAAACAAGGCAGCCAGAAAGCTTACAGCACTTCCCAGTATCTAGCATCTGCTTGACAGTAGGGGTTGCAAGATTTTGTACGATTCACACTCTGAGTATGCTCCACTTTCTTGGTTCGCCTGCCCCCCTTCTCATCTGCGACTGCTTGACAGAGTAGAGAACAGAGCAAGACGTCTCATCTCTCGCCTGGACCAACCCTGGATAGATCTGTCATTTCAGCAGAATCTTCAACACAGGAGGGATGTGGGTGGTCTTACAGTTATGTACAAGGCCAATATATTCAAAGTACCACTATACCACTTGGTATAGAAGCAAGCTTCTGTACCACAAGACGAGCAGAAAGCAGCAACTTCACTCAGGCTGTAACCTTCTCCAGAACATCACTTCATCTGAGATCATTTATCCCCAGGATGACTCCAGTATGGAACACATTCGTACAGCATTATATCAACGAGATAAAGTCAGTTGATCAGATGAAAATGCTGGCCCACAGATGGCTCCAACTTCATCCTGTCCCCTACCTGTATGTTTCATAACAATAAAAATGCTTTCAAATGAGCTGATGTAGGTAACAGCTCTTAGCTTGCCAATAAAGTTAGGAATCCTTAACCTGTAAATAACTTGTCAATAAAGCTAGGGATCCTTAACCTAACCTTGTCAAACCTTGTGTTAGAAAAAAAAGGAGAGAGAAATTACCTACACCTTGCAGACCTCCCTCCCTACCCATCACAAATACTGCAGAGATGGAAGGGAGTAGAGGGGTGATAGGGGGAGGGGAGAGGGGGAGGGAGAGGGGGGAGGGAAGAAGGGGGTAAATTAAGGTAATAAAACAGCATCGCCGGAGGTCACAAGCTCCCAGGAAAGGGTCAAAGGTCAGCGGCGGCGGTAATACGACGGGTTACGACTCCCGCTGTTTCTATTTTTTTTTCTTTTTGCAATATGCAACAGTGAGGCAGGAGGGGAGGGGGAAGGGGTAAAGGGTTTGAAGCTTATCCACTAGACCAGTCAAGAATACGATATAATTTTTTAATCTATTTTCCGAACTCAGCAGCAAATAAACGACTCGGTGTTTCCTGTCTAATTATCGACCCTCCTCAGGCACTAATGACTAATTGAAGACGACCTTATATATACAGATAAGTCACAAGAAACCCATTAAATTACAGGGCAGACACACACACACACACACACACACACACACACACACACACACACACACACACACACACACACACACACAAATAATGAACGAGTCATTAAGGCTGGAACCAATTAGTAATCGTCCCACTAACCTTGTGATGATTTAATTAGGAAAAAATATGATAATTACCCCTTAAAGAAAACGGGATCCTTGGGAAGGATTTTTGTTCCAAGGAATAGGAGTTATCCCCTTATTTTGTTAAGATATCTTTGCTTGCCATTTCCCTCGTGTGATTCAGTCTACCTCAAGCCTCGTATGAGTCAGTCTACCTCAAGCCTCATATGAGTCAGTCTACCTCAAGCCTCGTATGAGTCAGTCTACCTCAAGCCTCGTATCAGTCTACCTCAAGCCTCGTATGAGTCAGTCTACCTCAAGCCTCGTATGA